GGCCAGGTGTCGGATGGGTGGATCCCCGACGCCGCCGTCGCGGGAGGTGGCGCGTGTGCGCCCGCGAGCGTTGTTGCTGCCATCGGGGTCAAGGCGTGCCTCCCCTTTTTGAGGCGGAGGCGGGAGCGCACTTGCCGCGCACGGATGGCCTCGGCGATGGCATATAGCTCATTTGCGGGCAGGCTGCGCTGTTTTTTTGTTGGACATCGAGGGGAGGTCATTTTGGAGACTCCGACTAAAGCTCAGTCGGGTCATGGCTCCTAGGTGGCGGAAGTGGTACCTGCGCCACCCTGGGGAGCCTGCTGGACATTTGCCCCTTTCATAGCATTCCCATAGCATTCCCTCCTCCTCCTCCTCCTCCTCCTCCTCCTCCTCCTCCTCCTCCTCCTCTCCTCCTCCTTCTCCTCCTCCTCCTCCTCCTCCTTCTCCTCCTCCTCCTCCCTCCTTCGTCTCCTCCCTCCTCCTCCTCCTCCGTCCTTCTCCTCCTCCTCCTCCTCCTCCTCCTCCTCCTCCTCCTCTTCCCTTCCTCCTCCTCCTCCTCCTCCTCCTCCTCCTCCTTCTCCTCATCTACCCCCCGCTCCTCCTGACCCCCCTCACACCTCTTCCCGCCTCGGGCGCCGTGCGGCGCTGAGAGGAGCCGCCTCCGCCCCATTCCGCCACCCCTCTCTCCCTCCGGCCACCTTGCCGCTCCTGCTCCTCCGTGCCTTCGTTCCGCCTCCTGGGCACACAGGTCCACGGCGGACGCTCACCGCAGCAGAGCAGCGGCGGGTGGCGCACACCCCTCTGGTCGGGGCCACTTTCGCTCCTCCTACCCCTAGATCGGGCATGTCCCTCTACAGGAGGAAGATTCAAAAACAGTCAAAGGAATAGTCAGGGTACGATGTGTCGTCTCTGTTACATTCTTTGATTGTTTTCTTGTCAGATCCGCCTGTAGAAGGACATGCCCGACCTAATCCTACCGCCCCTCACACCTCCTCCCACCTCCTCCCACCCTCCTGCCGCTTACTCCCTTCTCCTCCTACCCCCCAGGAAAGCCCAGAGTCCAATCGACAAGTCGGATCGGCAATCGAAATGAGTCGGATCGGCGGAAATGGGCAGCCGAGTTGGGAGAAGTCGAATCGGCGGAAATCGGCAGGCTAGTAGGCCTCCATTGAGGAATCGGCATCCGTATCGGAATCCGAAGCCGAATCGAATCGGAGTCGAAAACCATCGAAATCGAACCGCATCGAATCGGAGGAATCGAAACGAGCCCCGACCCCCTCACACTTCTTCACACCTCGGGTGCCCTGGCGCAAAGAAACGCCGCCAGCGCCCCCATCGCCGGGGCGCAGGGCGAGGAGGTTTGCACCTCCTGCGGGCGCGCGGCTGCGTGGGGAACGGAGCTGGTGGGCCGCACAGGAGCTCCAGCGCCGCGATGTGTGTCCTCCCTTCGCTGTCGCGGCTGGCTCTAAGGTCGAATCCAACTACCTCCTCCTGTCCCCTACTCATACTGGGGAGTCCAAAAGGTACGGATACCGCTACTCATCGGACCTCCCCCTGGGTGCGTTCTGACTAGACTTTCGAGGCGAATCTGGCGGTGGCGACGATGGCCTCCCAGGAGGCCGCAGAAGGGGAAGACGGGCGGAGGGTAGCGGTATTGGCCGTTTTTCCTTATCCGAACTCCTATTTCCTCCTCCTCCTCCTCCTCCTTATTCTCCTCCTCCACCTACTACAACTCCTCCTACTACATCTACTACTACTACTACTACTACTACTACTACTACTACTACTACTACTACTACTACTACTACTACTACTACTACTACTACTACTACTACTACTAATACTACTACTACTACTACTACAACTACTACTACTACTACTACTACTACTACTACTACTACTACTACTACTACTACTACTACTACTACTACTACTACTACTACTACTACTACTACTACTACTACTACTACTACTACTACTACTACTACTACTACTACTACTTCTACTACTAACACTACTACTACTACTACTACTACTACTACTACTACTACTACTACTACTACTACTACTACTACTACTACTACTAATAGTAATACTACTACTACTACTGCTGCTACTACTACTACTACTACTACTACTACTACTACTACTACTACTACTACTACTACTACTACTACTACTACTCCTACTCCTATCCTTATTCCTTATTAGAATATACTCCTACTCCCCCCTCAGGCCGGCAGATAGCGGGCGCATCCGGGTGTCCCATCCTAACCTGTAAAAAACAATACAAAATCAACATTTTTCTTATTTTTTCCTCTCGACATGGACGTCCTGTCGTCCACGGCGATAATCCATTGCAAAAAAATACCACAAAGAGCACACGCGCGCGTTCATGTCATAATCCTACCGAACACCGTGTGTTTGCAAGCATTTCAACATCAAAACATCAAAAACCCAATGCTTTTTCACAAAAATTGTACAAATTTCCCGCCCGGGCTCTCTTGCTGAAATCATA